CCCTCCCCTGAATGCAGAGCCCAGGTCAGGTCCCTCTATTGCATGCTCTCCCAGTTCCCGATGTGTCCCCCAAGTAGCACTTATCACAATAGTCATTTAATGTTAACCATGGAATTATTGTTTCAAATCTGCCTCCCCTGCTAGAATGAGAGCTCCAGGAGGGCAGGGCCCTTGGCTGTCTTGTGTCTTCTCCACTGTATCCCAGGTACCCAGGCCAGTGTTTCTCAAACTTCAACGTGCCGATGAATGGCCTGGGGGATGTTAACCTGCATGTTAACCTGCAGATTCTGATTCGGTAGGTCTGGGGTGGGGCCTGAGATCCTTCATTTCTTCCAGATGATGCTGATGCTACTGGTTCTCTGAGCCACTTTGAGTAGCCAAGTCCTTCAGCACAGCCTGCCCGTGAGTCCTCACTGCCTTAGACCATCCCTTTCTTTCCATCCTCACAGCTATTGCCTTCATGGAATCCCTTTGCATCTCTCACTCAGATGATCTGGTCTCTCAGCTGGTCTTCCTTCTCAGTTTCCTGAGCTCTAGCCCCTGGGCCACACAGCTTCAAAGTGTCTTTCTACAATGTAAACCTAATCATGTTATCTCTCTTCTCTAAAAACTTTAAGACTCCCTATTACCTTGTGGGGAAAAAATCCAAGCTTCTCATGATGCCATTCAAGTCTCTCCCTTGCCTACTTTTCTGGTCCTCCCTCTTTTGTACTCCCATTTCACATCCCACCCTCCTGCCCTGTCAAAGCCTTTGCAGTTCCTTGAACTCACTAGGCTATTTCATTCCTCCCCACCTTTGCTCAGGCAGCTGACTCTCCCTGAAATCCCCTGTCCCAGCTCCATCCACCTGTCAGAAGTCCACATTCTTATCCTGATTCACCTCCCCTATGTGGAAAGCATTTCCAGATTCCCCTCTCCAAGGAGAACTGGCCGCTCCCTCATCTGGGTTCTGCTGTAGCGCCCTATGCTGTCCTAGCTTATTTATAGGGCAGCCTCCTCCTTCTGGGCAGTGAGTCCTCTGAGATCAAAACTGTATCTGAGTCATCACTGTTACCTTCATGCCTGGCACATGGTTGGCGCTCAAGGAATGTGTACCACTGATGAATGGATGTTATGCTCTGCTCCAGATGCCGTATTTTAAGGGCGAGACCTTGACACAGTGGAGTCCTTCTAAGCAAGGAACACCAGCCTTGGTCCAGAATCCCCGTGACATGGGAAACAGTTCAAAAAAGGTCTAAACATAAAGCCTGGAGAGAAGATGTGCCTGTATATAGTAGGTGCTCAACAAATATTTATTGAATGAATGAACAAATGAGTCATAGTTGTTCTCTGCATATGGAGCTCTCAGGGGACAGATTACATGCATGCTAAGTTATCTGTATCTCTAGAAGCTCAAACATCAAATCTAGGGCAGAGATCTCGGTCCAATAAAATAATGAATTTCCTAACAAGACCAAAATGTACCAAACTTCACTCCCTCTAGGAGCCATCTAAATGATCTCTTTCTCACAAATATAAAAACTAAGGAACACAACATAGCCTCTAGACCAGTTAGAGTTATTTTTGTGGCAAATGACAGAAAAAAAGTTATGGGTGATTTATTGCATCTAACAGTGTCATCAGGACCCTTTCTCTTTCTCTCTCTTTCCCCTTCTCCTCCCACCCCCCACCTTCCCCGGTGTTGGCTTCAGTGTAAAGATCCCCACAGCTCCAGCTCACTTCTCCCCAAAGCAAAGAAAGGACATCCTCCTGCTCTGGCGCTCCTCTGCCAGGACCAGCTAGAAGTGTGCCTCACCAAAGCTCCGTGGCCCTGGGAAGACAGTTCTCTGGTGCAACAGAGAATCACGTGCCAACCTTGGACCGGCGGCACTTGGAGGAGGAGGACGAAGACTGTGCTGAGACTGAAGGAGGGGGCAATTTCCCAGACTAAGTGTTACCTGAAGGAAAAATAAGATGTGGAGGACAAACACCACAGTTAGCCACCGCGGTCTGAACCCTTGTTCCTATTCTAAAACTTATAACTACACTCAATATTACATTTGCACACAATATAAATTCAGTTGACAACTCCTGGTTATTAGAAACTTCTGAGCAATTCAACCCACATTTTATTAACCTGAGAAGAATTCACTATTCGTATAACATAGACCAGAAGACTCTTCTGCATTGACTTTTATTCATTTCTTCAAAAAAATGTTTATTGTATTGAGGATACAATGATGAAGAAAACTGTCCTTATGAAGCCTATAATCTCATGGAGAAGGAAGCCAATTAAAAAAATAATCACAAAGCAGGTGACAAATACCATAAGACAATAACCTATCTCCATACTGTTGTATCAAAATATAAAAAGATAAAGCGAAAGTTCAACCAAACTCCTTTAGGACTAAATATCAGTTTTCTTTGTTAACTTGACCAGCTGTCTCTCTGAGTTATGCTGAAGATTGACAGAAACCTTATTTTTGGTGAAATAATCTCAGTGTTTCCCTGGCATACCAGAAGAAGAAAAGGTATCCACTTGCTTGGAGCACGCAGTTTCAAACCTAGCAAAGACTCACCGATGTAACATCACAGACACTGAAATCAGCACCTTCAGAGCCCTGAAAACAACAGAATACTTCAGGTGAAATGAGCAGCTTCTATCAGTGGCTGGATCTATCAAGAATAAAAAAGGAGAAAGTGAGGAGATTGGCAATGTCTCCATTCCCACACCATTTAATCCCTTATGTCACCCATACTTCCGACTTTGGTTCTCAGTTTTACTTATTTTTCTCTGGTTGATGTTTTGAACTTCTATCATGATCCCACAAATCGTATGACCTCTCAGGTATCACCTTTGCTGTGGACATTCTTTTCTCCATCTTCAGTGACATGGCATACTACTTGTCCTTCAGAATCTGTAGTAAGTTAGAAGGTTTAGGTGACACTCTTTTCTAAGGCAGAGAATAACAATGATTTATTTTACTTGCCTCTCTAGCCTTGATCATATATTTCAGGTTATTCAGGTCCAAAGTGATGGAAGTGGTAGCTGAATTACAAAGCTTACCAGAATTCTGATCTCTGCTTGTCACCTGATTTTTAAAAATTTTCCTGTTGCTTATTAAAATTGTAGTTGCTATTGTTAAGTAGCACACTGTATTTACACTGAGTTAAGGAACATTTAGGACACTGCTCTGGATTATTTTAACATCTTTTTTGCAGGAAACACACATGTGCTGTACTCAGGTGATCTAAGAGGCAATGGGTTCCATTGTAATTGCTGGCCCACATTGCCGGCCCAGCTGGGCTGACATTTTAATTTCTGTCTCTTTTGTGGCTTTCATTATCCTGGAGGCCAAGGTATAGACGTGTCTGGAATCCCAATTTGTGGAAGATTAGTAAATTTTGGAACAGGGCCAAGATCATTCAGTGCTTGGGATGGATTTCTTGGAATCTCTCCAAATGTATGTGTTGTCCATTTGTGCCATGTGGCCAGACTTGAGTCTAGAATAGACAGTTAAGACAAAATTATGCTTACTGCAGCCTAGTTGTACAATGGAAAAAAACTCAGGTGAGCAGTCTAGAGAGGGTTGTTTCTGTGCTTTAGAAGGCTGGTTCCACAGAGAAATGCTGCTCGGGTGTGGTAAGGCTTGAAGATGCTTAGGAAGCAGTTACTATATAAATATAAAAGTTGACTGAAAGGGAAAATGATGGCTAAGACCGAAAAGGCTCTAGTTTTAGGCAAATGTTCTGCCTACCGAAAACGAAGAAGTTCTACATAATGAATAAAAGCATGGCATTCTGGTTCAGCCTGGCTGGGTATCCCAGCTCCATCACTTATCAGTTGTAAGACTTTGAGAAAATTAATCTACTTTTCAGAAAAGCAGTAGTATTGTGAAGTTAGGGTTAAATGAGGTAATTCATATAAAATGTTTAGCATAATGCCTGACGCTAGAAAGAATTCTGTCAAGCCTTATGAGGTGACAATCTAAAATGTTATAACCCAGTAGCTTGTAAGGTTTTTGAGGTCTCAAACTACCTCGGGAATTTGATGAAAACTATGGGTGCTTGTTCCTCAGGAGAAAAACGCACATGTACAAAATTTCTGCACACAGTTTCAGGGAATTCAAAGATACAAGGCAGTACAACCATAGACTTTAGGTGAGGGTCCTTTGTTTTAGGGTTAGACTCATTCCCAAAAGAGAAAATAAAGTCCTCGGTTTTATTTATTTTTTACAATTTTTGATCATTTATAATCGTAGTCTCATATATTTTTAGATTTGGAAGGGATTTTACCCAGTCTAAATCCCTTTTATTTTAGGAATAACAATATTAAGGTCCTAAGAAAACACTTGGTGTTTCAGACAACTGGAGAACTCTATCAATTTCACATTTCTATAATTAAAAAAATAAATTTTCTTATTATCAATGACCCTTTATGTTTGAGATATTCCTTAAAATTTAACATATTTCTATTCTATTCCTAATCCTGTTTTCTGAGATACATTTACAGCCCTCAGAAGCTCATGTTCATTCAAAGCCCCGTGATAGATACAATGATCACGTTTTCTGTGTATTTTAGTTAGCGTACCAAAATCTACTTTGCCGTACCTGTTTGATATTGTGCTATTTAATGGAGAAGAGCCTTGTTGGAATGCCATGCTAGGATAATAACTTTATCAGGTAGGAATTCAAATTAACAGACTTACTGAGCACCTACAATGGGGTAGGCTCCGTTCTCTGCACCCGGGTACAGAGCCCAGATAGAGGTGTGCCCTCATGGAGCTTCCAGTTGAACGATGAAAATCATCTTTTCTTTTAGAAGAATATGGCTAGGGTTGAGATTCTGTTCATGGACAGGATCAGAGGTAATGTGCAAGTTTTCAGCCATGTGAACACCACCAATGCCTCCATTACCATTCCTCAAGGACACTTGCCTTCATTTGCTTAAACTATGGCTGACTCAGCATGGGCAACACTAAACATGATTAGCCGAAATCCCATCCTTAACTTCCCCCTGGCAGGAGCAAGAACAACATCAAGTGGCAAATAGGCCAAGTCATCTCTGGGCTTCTCACTGCAAAAATCTTTTTAAGCACTTCTATTTGCTTCCAGGATACTTTGGGTGACTTTTGAGGAGAATATGAACAAGAGAGCAAAAGTACTGGGGTTTAGCAGTTTGCTATAGTTAGAAGGAAGTAGGGAGTTGGGCTGATGATGTGGAAAGGAAGCAGATTAATAAAAGGGATGGAAGACTGGAACATGAAAAATTGAAAGTAGGTCAGATAAGTGACAGGGCCAAAGGCAAGAGAGATTAAAAGGCTTTGAAATCATGTAGTCTTGTCCAATCTGCTTCTGGAGCACCAGAAGCAATGGTGACACAAAGTCAGTGTAGCTAACATGTCATTGGGATCCATGGGCTCAGAGGAATTCAACTGCTCTCACTCTGGAATAGGGGTAGAATGATGTTGCTGAAGCCCTGAAGACAATGGCAAAGAGAACAGAGTTGAGGTGGTGCGGAACTGGCTCAGGAGCTGGCAGATTGGGGCTATAGCCTCTATTCACCCTGGGTTGTTGTCCTATCTAGGGGAGCAGACTGCTGGTGTTCATTCTGAAGCTCGTTTGGGTACCACCAGGGCTACAAAAACTATGGTACCAACACACCCAAGCATCTGCCTTCTCTTCTTTAGTTTTTCTACCTAGAAAAATCTTACCCTTCCTTGTTACCCTCCACATCTACAACCTCATCCTCATTTGGCTAAATATACTCCCTAGTTCTTTGAAAAGGCTAAGAACTATAGCGAAAAAGAAAAAATTATGTTCATGACATCTGAAGAAGGTGAAATTGACCTAAATGAGTTGCATCATTTGCTCAAGAGAACAAATTCATTTACTTCTGACCTGGTAATGCAGTGACCTTTTTCATGTGCACTCATAATTTGCAAGCCACAATATTTTTGGCAGAAGAATTGCTTATCTCTTCTCCCAATGAATGCTTTGATAGACAACAGTATAAATATCCTGTAGCCTGGATCCTTGGTTTGTAAACAACTAGGAAATAAATAAGGCATTTTGCCTGATGACCAAGGCAGACTCACAAATAGGCTTCTATAAACAGAGGGCAATTGTAAAAGGCAAAGATGACAGAAACTGTGACTTGGTGCATGCTTTATATATGCTGCTCATTATACCATCCAGAGACCCTCTCAGCCCAGAGCTATATTTTAAAAAATACAGACCTATTTATAATATGGTTAGGTTCTTGCTTGAGTCATACAGAATACATCAGGTACACTATCTTTCATGATTTTTTCCTATCATAGAGGGTAGTTGCCTCCTGCAGAGTTAATTGGGAAACATCAGCTATTGGCTAGTAGGCAAAGCTCTTGAAGTATTCCAAGAGACTCTGTCTCAGAATTCCAGCTCTTACATGGGAATAATATTTCCTTTTCATTAACTAGCAAACTGCACCTCTTCAGGGCCGGCCCCGTGGCTTGGAGGTTAAGTGCGCGCGCTCTGCTGCTGGCGGCCCGGGTTGGGATCCCGGGCGTGCACCGACGCGCCTCTTCTCCAGCCACCCTGAGGCCGCGTCCCACATACAGCAACTGGAAGGATGTGCAACTATGACGTACAACTATCTACTGGGACTTTGGGGGAAAAAATAAATAAATAAAATTATAAAAAAAAAAAAAATAACTGCACCTCTTCAGTTAAAAGCTTAAAGAATGGTAATGACTCACTGTCTCTACCTTAGAAAAAAGAATTTGTTGAGAGCAGGACACATAAAGGTATATATACATATATGTGTATGTGCATGTACACTCACCTATATAATTGTGCAAGCCCAAGTTCTAGAGAAGATCGTCTTTCTTCCTCTAAAGAGAGGTTAGAATGAGGGATACAGTGTTGTCATTTAATTTCTCCAAGCACTTCAGTTCTTCATTATTCAACAGTGTCTCTGACACAGAGTTCTCTATCTTAGAATGTGATCAGATAGACTAACTAACAGAAGATAAAAATGTACTTTGCAAACACAAGTGCAATAAAGATGTTTAATGATAAACTTTGCATGTTATTAAGCACTAGAGGCCCTTTTAATTCAAACAAATAGTGGTAAATGTATCAGGAAACCCCAAACATCAGAATTCAAGTAAATTTCAATTGCTATTGAAAAAATATATTATTGTTGTATGAAACCTTTTAAAAATAATAATAGCTAACATTTATTGAGTGCTCATAATAGGAGGGACAATGTTGTAACCACTTTACATACATTTTTTTTCATTTAGTCCTCAAAAAGCCCTATAAAGTAAGTACTAAAAAATGAAATTTGAAGAGTTTTTGAACAGTGACTAGATTATACAACATTGAGAGAGAAAAGGAAAAGTTTTCAATTTCACCTTAACAGAGCTCTTAGGCAATACATTTCAGATCACAGCTAAAGTTTCACTTGTACACTATGTGGATGCTTCCATTTGCTTCCATTCCTCAGCATTCTAGTTCCCCATAGATATGTGAATCTCTAGATGTTCAGGTCTTCTCAGAAAAATAGAAAATGCAAAGTGACAGGTCTTGCATATACAGAAATAACAGTAGAGTTATCTCACCAACAGCAAATCCAACACAACCACAACCCTTTTCATATTGCTCAGGGAGAAGCATCATTTTCTTTCCTTCCCCATCCATAAAGTTTTCAAAGATGTGGCAAGGCACACCTGCAAAGATGATTCTTCTTGGTAAAAGGATCCTTCTTTATTTTCTAAAAGCTTTGCAAATCCTGAGAACTATTTTATCTATGAGGTAGAGAACAGGTTCAAGAGGTGCTGAGCTCAGAATGAGCCCAGTATAAACAAAAGCGAGAAAGAGAGAGAGAGACTTAGAAAGGGAAAAAGGAGCACTGGCTTCTGCAGAGACGAGGCATATGATGCACCAGGATGGAAACCAAGAAAAGTCCAGATCTATTACGGTTAACTGAGATGAGCTCCTCTAAGGCTAGTGATTGGCTCTACAGAAACAGATCAATTATTTAGGTACATTCCACATTTAGCAAGTTGAGTCAAATTAAAACATTTACATGTGTTTATATTTCCAAAACACAATGACTTCCTAGTATACGCCTGGACCCCTTTATACTCCATGAAGACCGTCACAGTGATCTTTACCCTGCAAACAGACATAAAGATGCCCTGATTCACTTTATTTTTTTCCGACTACTTTAGTTCTTGGAAACTTTTAAGGAAATTTAACTTTGATTTCTGTTTGTTTTTACTTTTGAAAAAATCTTTTTGGTTCAAAAACCCTAGAAAATCATTAAACTGGGCCAACAGGCATTAAGTCTGAATGAAGGATAAAGAGTGGAAAGGAAGAATGCCTTTTGTCTCTCAAGGTTTTCTTCATGGGCAGTTGCTAGTGTAGACACATTAGAATCACTTTGACATTAAACTTGGAGAGGAGAAGCAGTTTGGGTAATAGGTTACTGATCTCTATTCTCCAACTAGGAACACAAAAAGTTTCTAAAAAGTTTGAGGTTTCTGCAGAGCAGACTTTCTTAATAAAACGTAGGCTGTAAGAATTTTTCATGTGCAGAAACTAAAATGGGGTTTTCTGGCCCAGTGAGTTCTAGTTCTTTCTTTTGGAATGTCTGACTTTCACATCCATCTACTAATGAGAACTAAGAGTAATATTTCATATCTGTAAGTGCTTGACACGGAAATGAGGGAAGATTGTTTCAGTCAGTCTTTTTTGGTTGAAAGAAACAAGAGGCGTACTCAAGTTACTTCACAAAATGAGTGGGGGGAGGAGATTAGATGGGGGAAGGGAATTGTTACAAGGATACACAACAGAGACTGGAAGTGGAAACACACCAGGACTGAAGGCAACTCTAAATTCCAGTGTCTTACTGTCTACTTTCTTTCTGTTGTTGCTCCCATTCTCCTTTCTTAACCAGCTGTCTCAGCCTTTACTCTCTCTCTCTTCTGTTCCTTCATAGTTTTAGCTTGCATATGGTTCATGGTATCCTCTCACAATCTGACTTTGCTGCCAACTGGCTTAGTGTCTTAGTTTCCCATTGCCAAATTTCCAAGAAAGACATCTGATTGGCCCAGGTGATTATGTTAAGCTAGTCCATATAGACGGCTGGCCATGTCACAGAATGGCTATCTTTGAGCCAAGTGTCTACCCCTTGGTCCACTCATCTAGGACAAGGAGCAACACATAGTATAGAGCATGACTATTTAGAATGAGGCCACAAGCAGAAAGATTGTCTTAGAGGAGGATATGGATGGGACAAGTTGAGATAAGTATCTCTAGTTCGCTGGCAGATTATGTGGAAATCAGTTTATTCATCTTCTTTCTTAGAGGAGTTAATCTCAACTAATCGCAATAGACCTGGACTACCTTGATACAGCATGTGACAGTAGCAGCAGCACTTTCTTTCCCCTCCCCTTTCACTCGACTTTATCAACTTTATCTCTGTTACATCCATCACCTTATCTTCATGACTAACCAAGTGCCAAGTTATAGATAAAAACAAAAGTATTTTTTGAAACCAGGATCATTCAATTGTTTTATTTTAGAGTAACATGCTAGTGGGCAATAAGATATTAGAATAGGGAATTATTGATACTTCTTTGCCTGCTCCTATAGCTTTTATTTCAATAGGAATCCAATTAATAGAGGTGCCCAAACTATATTTGGTGAATATTTGGGAGATTTAAGTCAGTGGACCTCACAGTTTGGTAACCTAATACAGAGAATTAGTTCAAAGAATAGTTACAGTAATGACTGATTGTATAAGGCCAAGGCAGATTGCATAACACTAGAAACACTGGCATCAAGCAAATCTGGGTTCAAATCACAGCTCTGTCTTGTAATAACTGTGCGACTTTGACCAAACTTTTAATCTCTACAAATAATTTGTAAAATGGAGATAATTATGACCACTTCATGGAGGTTTTGTAAACAGTAAGCAAGATAACGTATGTAGTTTATTGCAAAATGACGCACATAGTAAGCACTCAATAAATGGCAGTGGTTGCTTCTATCACTATATCTATTACGATTACAATATCATTACCATGGGTGTTATGAGGATTAGAGAATACAGATTAGAGATATGAGGGTTATCTTCAAATACTTTGCAGTCTTAAGAGAGATAATATAGACATACATATTAGAAATGGTACATACATACATATAACTTGCACATACACAAGTGGAACTCAGCACAATGGTGGGTTAAATGTGAAATGCTAAGTGTGAAATAATGATGTTAAGTGATATTCTTTAATCAGGAAAAGGAGGTTAAAATTCTGGTGAATTTTTAATAGGGATAGTGCCTCTTAGAAAAGACAGGAGGGATTGCTCCCAGCATAAAAGTTTGTCTATTGTAATGTAGGAAGCTAGGATTCATAGGAGTTTCATAACTGAAGCATGAAAGGGGGAATTGAAACATTAAGAGGAGAGTTGGAAATGGAAAGGACTTACTGGATGGAATACGTGGGAGTCACTGTCAGAAACCAGGGGACAGCCCATTATTTGGGTTTATATTTCACTTCCCCACGGAGGCCCAAACCAGATTCCCCTGCTGTATGTTCCCTTCCTGTGTTTTTCCTACCATGACACTCATTACATATTGGCAATGTTAGTTTAAAGTGCATCTTCTCTGTTAGGTTATAAGTTCTGTAAGACCCTGACTCTCATGTTCATCACTTTATCTCCATGACTGGCCAAGTGCCTGGTACATGGTAAGCACTCCACAAACATATGCTGAGTGAATGAATGCATGAATGCAAGGACGAATGAAGTAATGAACATGGAATTAGTAGGTGATTTCATCATATGCTGTTCTGTATTGTTCTCTAATATTTATGAGGGTTAATCCTGTCTTCCTGTTGACATTGTAACTTGCATTAAGACACAGGAACAATTCTGTATCATGCCTCCATCACTACCACTAAGAGGCATCTGGTTGCAGACACAAATGCTCAAAAGATCTTTCTGAGCTCTTTGCTAATAATCCTTTTTACTCTCTATTCTCCATTTTCTATTTGTCTTCTATACCAATGCAGAGATTATACCTCAGTCTCACTATTAGATTATAAACCTGTCTTTTGCTATTTTTATTACCAGGACTTACCAGTTGGTAAGCATCCAATAAATAAATGAGTGAATAAAGGAATATCTGGACAGCATATATTTTGAAGCATACTCTTCCCAACTTGCAGCCTTCCAGAATCTCAAAAGTTGCTCTTGTGATTCCAAGCTTGCAGTTCATGTAGGAAGGCATCATCTCAAGCCAACATTTTATCTTTGAAATTGCTGTCTTTGTTGTTATCACTCGAGTAAATTCTGAAAGTTTCTTCTTTTTAACAAGGCAAATTTTACCTTTGCATGAAAATCTTTTTACGATTTTAAGACAATTTGGGAACTTCTGTTGGTAAAAATAATATGTCCACTTGCTTTCTAGTTAACAAACTCTAATACATCGAATCATTTCATCCAACAAGGTTTTTGGAGCACCTCTTAGGTTACATCTACTTGAAATACTCAGATGAATAAGACTCGCCCCTGAATATGCTCAAAGTCTGTACATACCGTAATCACATCCAGGGGGTCTGAAAGTTGAAGGGTAGACCATTCCTGTCTAAGGGCTCCTTCAATCTCACCTCAGACCTACATGTTGATTTCCTGCAAATCCCTCACAAAAGAATATAATTGCATCTAAGACTTCCGAGTCTACAAATTTTAACTCTTCTGTACTCCCATTAATTAGATCCTACTCCTCAACCCCTTACTCTCACGTGATTTTTCTATTTTATTTATCTACTTTCCTTTTTAACATCCAGAAGCCAGTATATTTCACAATGATCTTTCTTTAAAATATACAAAATATTGCTCTATCTCAGTTTCCTCATCTCTGAAAGAAGGATATTGAGACTCTGGGACAGTGAATTTGGATTATCAAGGAGACAAACAGGCTAACAGGAGAAATAATCTCTGAGGAAACAAAGGAAAACCAACACAACTCTGGGGATTTTTGAGAAAAGAGCCGCTTTTACTTTCTCCCTGCCCACTTGAAGAAATTCTTCTACTTCTCCTATATCCTGCTTACACTAGATTCTCATGGAAATACTAAGACAAAACAAATTCACAGAATTTTAGAGCTTGAAAGGTCTTTGTAATTCTCTCCTCAGACATAGATTAACCACACACTTAATGAAGTTTAAACTTAAAGGTCTGTCACTGGCATTGGCCCCTTCCAAGGCCCTGGGAGAGGCCTGAGCCATGTATTCACATGGTCATATTTTTAATTAAATTTCAAAAGTAAGCTATTTTAACCATTCTTGGTAAAGACCACAGTCTCCTTGCACTCCAGTTTAACTCTTTCAAACTCTCCCTGATGCTGCCGGAATTGGGGAAGCTATGGGTATTTTTGTTGATCTGGCTAAGGGGAAGTTGACATGGAGATATCTTTAGCTTGGGTTTAGTGGGTTATATATATATGTGGATCACAGTCATTTCAGTGTGTGGTTGTTGTTTCGAGTTGTCCCAATGTAAAAATGGGTTCTAGGAATATTTCCACATCACCAAGCCAATTCACTGGTATCATGGCACAAAGATGTAGGGTTAGAGGCTGTTTCTTGATGCATATGTGTCCTAGGGCATTTAGCACTGGAATTGTATGCTAAACTTTCTTTTTATTCTCTCCATAGAAGATAACATTGCAAAAATCATTGTCATATGAAGAGGAAATCAAAGTATACAGCCCAAAAAATGAGAGGAAAAAAAGTATTATGGGTTGTATCAGATAGTTAATTTAAAAAAATTTATTTATTTGGATTTTGTGATGTCTATGGTATTTTCAAGCTTTTTAAAATTTATTGTGATTTTGTTGCTAATTTTAAATAAGTATTCACTTGCATATCTAATTTTGCAACCATAATTTTATATTTTTTTCTTAAAGGTCCCAATAGTATATAAGCTTCAATCCCCCTAAAACCTGGATCTGGCCCTGAGCCTACTTACCCACCCTTCCACATTTAACAGATGAGGAAACTGAGGCCCGATATCACATAGTTCACAGCAGTAGTGAACTAAACCTAGGTCTCCTAACTTTCAGTCCATTGCTATTTCTACTGCTCTACATTATCTGACTTTTGAGAAGTACCTCAAAAATCAAAGATCTTAACTGAAAAATAAAAAGAAGAAAATAAAAGGGGCCAGCCCCATAGCGTAGTGGTTAAGTTCAGCGCATTCTGCTTCGGTGGCCCGGGTTTGCAGGTTTGGATCCTAGGCTCGGACTTACACCACTCATCAGCCATGAGTGACCCACATATAAAGTAGAGGAAGACTGACACAGATGTTAGCTCAGGGCCAATCTTCTTCAGCGAAAAAAAAAAAAAGAAGCAAGTAATAAAAAATCTCCTGACCATGGTATATAATAATAGCAAATATTTATATAGCATTTCTTATATGCTAGACATTGTTTTAAAGTGCTTTACATATAAATCTTTTAATCCTCAAAGCAACTCTCTGACTAAGCTAATACTAATATCCTCATTTTTCGGATGACGACAACTGAGACATAGAAAGGTTAAGTAACTAGACTAAGGTCACACAGTATGTGAAGAGCATAACATCCTTTGTATTGTGGCAGCTAGCAGCAAACATTTTTTGAGGGCTTACAATGTTCTTGTCACCTTGCTGAGCACCATAGTGTATTATCTCATTCAATCTTACAATCATTCTTTAAGATAGGGAGCATTACTACTCCATCTTACAGATGAGGAAACTAAAGTGCAGAGACATTAGGTAACTTGGTCATATATCTAGTAAGGGGCAAAGTTGGTACTCGAATCCATGTCTGACTCCAGAGCCAGGGCTCCTAGCCTCTAAAGTGATAATGCCCATCAAAGAAAACACCCTCCATGCCCTTCTACTATTGCCATATTCTATGTGGTCCCTTTCTCCTGAAGCCACAATTAGAATGGGAATGCTGGGCAGAATTAGAATAAGGAGTAGGTTAGAGGCATAAAGGACATAATAGTCCCTTCTTAGACAACTGTCCTTCCCGTTGTGGGAAACATAAATATATCCCATTGTGTGCACACACTTATCTGTGTCAGGGTACCTAGCTACAAGCATGATATTTCTTGCATCTGACTTGTTTCTTCAACTTTTGTCGTAGCCAAGAGATGACAAGTTTATTTTTAATTCATATTCTATGATAAAGTTAAGAGTGACAATCAGCAGACCAGTAATTTAGCTGCTGTAGAAAGTTTTCAGAGGTGGCAAATCCCTACAAATGTCAAGAAGACACGTAAATAAAGTGGCAAAATGTAACTCCCAGGGAGTGACAGAGACTTTGGTAAATTCGGGTTGGCATGTCCAAAACCAAACAGCAAGTCCTGGGCTTCAATAGATGGTTGCCATGTGGCACTTTGAACCCAGTGTGACCAGATCTGACAATTTTTCAAGAGAAACTGGAAATCTAGATTTTTGGTGGAAAATCTCCTAATTGTAAATATTTTAAAGTAATTCAATTTTTTTTAAAGCACTGTGCTAGCTAAGTGCAGGACAGACAAACAGAAACAAACCTCACATTCCTGGGCCTCTCATTTGTAGTCTGCTTTATATGGCGTTAAGTTGCAGGAAACCCTGAAATGGGAAGTTAGAAGAGAAGCCTGACAGAAATTTGGATCTCAGTGGAATATGTGTTCTTTGCAAAATGAGTTTTGGTAAGAATAACTTTCCTGGTGGCGGTGGGTGATTGAGGGGGTGGAATGGGAATGGGCACTAAAGCAGTGGCCCTTTGGGATCAGACCCTCCTAATTTCTCCTTTGGCGTACTATTGGTCTTGAGCCTTAGGAAAAAATTGCAGGAATCTAATTAACAGCTCAAAGGGAGCAATCAATTTACAATTGTGTGAAGTGCAAATTCCTTTGTGCATGAAACAAATTACAGAATTTGCAAGTTTGTAAATAAGGCAGCACTTACCCTGCCATCCAAAGGCTTTGGGTGCCCCCCGGGAGAAAGAAAAAGAAGTCTGAGGAGGCAAAATGTTAGAAAAAGACCTATTGTCTCAAGAAATGGAATTTAAAAAATATCTTTAGTAATTGATTTTTTTCAATTGAATCTTTATTTAGGAACTATAAAGAGGCCCAGTTCTTAGGTCAGTAGAATGAAAATATCTAGAGAAGTAAACAATTTCAAGTCCCAAAGTCACAGCATGTTATTAACAGGGCACCTTCTTTCAAAAGTGCTAAACATAAACATTTGTCCCTAACCCTCCCCACACCCTTGGTTTATGGCAAGAACTTTCATTTTATAAAAGAGACAGCAAGTCCCAGCCCTTCAGAGAAAGAAAGGTGACAGATAGGGACATGAGCCCTATCTCTCTGCTCTGCAGCAGTAGTTTTTTTGAACCATTCAATTCACAAATATTTACTGAGGCCCTTATATAAGATCCTGTCACTATTATTAGAGGTTCAAAAGAAATACCCTAGAAGAATATATGGTGTATTTAGGAAAGTAAGAGAGGGCTAGGAGTTGAGAATACAAAGTAAATGTAACTCCATCCCTGCCCTGAAGGGGTTCACAGTCTAATGAGAAAATAGAATTTAAACCAATCATTTTAATACTGAGCTTGAAGCTAAAAAAGAGATATAAGAGAGGCACCATGGACACTTTGACAAGTGCTTGACTCTACCAGGAGACCTTGTAATGGGAGAATAAAATCACCAGGCAGAAGGAGATGGAGGGCATTAGAGGTAGAGATAAGTGGACTACTGACGGGCCTTAGGTAGGAGAACGACAGATCTGATTTGTGCTTTCAAGTGATTCTCTCCCCTGTGTTCTTATTCACTGGGAGATGAGTGCAAACTGGTTAAACCTTTCCACAAAATATTTTAGCAAATTGCATCCAGAGCCTTAAAACATATTCATGTCCTTTCAGTTAGAAATTCTACTAGGAATTTAGGAATCAGAGAAGCTGTCAGTAACTTATGTATGGAGAAGCTTATCACAGCATTATTTATAACTGAAAAACTGGAAACAACCTACATGTTCAATAATGGAGTAATGGTTAACTAAGTTATGGTACATCCAAGCCATGTGGTTTTATGCACTACTTATAAGAAAAAAAATCACATTTTAAAAGAATATTTCAAAATGAGCAAAAATGATTTTAAAAAATGATGCAAAATGTTTAATGAAGTATCATTTAATTTTGTAATAAAAAAATTAAAAAGTAGCTCTCAACATGGGTTGTGATTTTTCACTCATATCTTCCTTTTCTAAAGTCCTTTCTTGTTTTAGACATAGTAACAGACAACAAAAGGGGTGGAGTTTCTCCTCGCTCTGTGTGAAATCAAAAGAATTGGCTTTTGTTTCCTTCTTTCTTAACTAACAGCGTGATCCAGGATTTGCAAGTCACTTATTCTCTAAATCACATTCTCTTTATGATGTTCAGGCTGGCTAGGAAAGGAAGGGAGGCCAGGTGGGGAATGGAAAGAAAGTAAGGATCTAGAAGCTGAACACCACCATGACAGCGGAGAACAAATATGATGGGAGCAAGGGTAGTGAAGAACTGGAAGAAAGGGTGGTGGTTGTGTATTCAGAATGAGTTACTGGATTGAAGATTTCAGGGGTGGAACATAGACACATATAGTATAACGGTTCAATATGTATAAGAAATGTCACAATGCAGTAGTACATGGTTAACTGCCAAATAAATGGCACTATAGACAATGAATATTATAAAAGTTTGGAGGAGTTTGGAGGAGAGAGCCATCGTTTGGTCACATACATGTATCTGACCATGTATCAATGAAGATATTCCTCTAAAACCTTGTAGCAATCCTTGTTAGAGGGTATAGTTGTGTAGGGTTGGACTCTCCTGGCCATCTTGTTTTAGTTATTGAAGAACTTAAGGACTTCACTGTGAAAGGATTTTAGCTATTAAGTAAAAGGAAAGGTTATAAGAAGAATATGATAGAAAACAATTTGAAATTAAAATTCTATTTGAGAAAGTTCCATCTCTGCACAAAAATTCATGTCATCTTTCAATTTCTCCTTTCCTTTAAAATGTATTCACATAAAATCTGCTTTACAAGACAGAACCAGCCAGGAATACAGCCCAGGAAATTTACCACTAAATGGGGATACATATGTGTTTCAGTTCTTAGGAAAACTGCCTTGCTAACTTTCTCCCTGTGTTTCTTGGTTCTTAATATTGAAGGGCATGTGGTAATTTCTCCCTTTGCCGAATTTTCTTGCTTTTACAGCTCCTTCCAACTGAATGTTAAGCACCTTCCCCATACCATTGCTTTCTAGGCTATATATGTCTACACACCATCAAGCGACCTTTAAGTATCACTCTTTAGCTGGATCAACACGTTTACCCAACCACATAACTTAGATCCTTTTGGGGTTTTCCAGTCTATTTTAAACTATTTAAACCTGACACTGGCAGATTTCCATTTCCTTTATTTCTTGTGTAGACCTGGTTTAAGCGTGTTGGTCTCTACAAGGGACAGAAAGGAGGCGGCTGTTGAAAAATGAGGAGATTGGCAGTTTTAACCACACAATTTGGTCAGCTTTGATATGCTAAACTTGCTAGCTCCTCCAAGTGTACCTTTCTGATTTTGCATCACAACACCACACTGAATCCCTAAGGAAACCAGGGTAGTTTTTTACATTGTTAAAAAGAAAAGGAAGAAAAGAAAGAAATGCAAACCAGCGATTCTTTTAAATCATCTCCACAGATTCATTCTGCGAACTGCAGGCCTTCGCAAATCCTCATGCACGAGACCTTTAAAGAAGAAGCCGAGAATACTGATCGTGTTCTAAAGAGGGAAAACAGGTGATGTCATAACGCTCAGTCCTGTGTGGTCACAGCCAAGGCTGGGTGGGGAGCTGGGGCTCCAGTGAGCACGGAGCTCCGCGCCAGTGGGTGAAGCAAATTATCTCCGGGGCCCGGAGGACACCGGTGAGGACCGGGCACCAATCAGGTTCTCGCTCGGCGCCTGCCTTTGTTCTCACTGGGGAGCAGGTTTCGGGGTGTCTCGTGTCGGGAACCCGCAATTGGCCAGCACGCGCGTTGCTATCCCCTTCGGGAGAACTGGCTCCCCCACTCGCCTGTCCCCCCACACCCTGCCAGCCAGAGCTTTCCCCAATTACATCTGCCTTCTCTCCCCACAGCATGGACGCCCAAATCCTGACTCACCATTTTTAGCTTTGGAAGAAGCAGGTCCAGCCCAGCAGTTTTAAAAGGCAATTTGTTCTCTAAACCTTCCTTCCCAAGCAGGGCTCTGTGCTCTGTATATGTCTGATTAGCCGCCTCAGAAATGACTTTTGGGCGAGAGGATAAACCTGTTTCTTTGGCCCTTTCGTGCTGGACAAATAAAGGAACTTTCATTGCTGGGAGGACAGCGAGAAGGGGCTACAGATGGGAGGAGAAAACCGCTAAACCAGAGGTTTTGTGTCTTTTTTCCTCCCTAACTCGATTATTGGTGTAAATACACCTCAAATATCTATCCCCTACCCCCCGCCCAAGCCTCAGGTAACTGTTCTTTTTGCAAAAACAAGGCTCAAGATAAATGATGCATAAAGTTCTTTGAGATCCCTGGATGCAAAGTGCTACGTGACTGCAATCTTCTTTACAGCTAAGCTAAGATTGTGGCTGAGAGAAAGCCTAATCACTGCCCTGATGGTATGAACGTTTTAGCTCCCCCCCTTCCCAATCTTGCTCAAGAAATCAGGAAATATTTAACTCAGTCTTAGACCCTCTAGCGAGCTCTATCTCCCATTTATTTATCTCACTCTCCGCACCATTTCTGCAGGGACCTAGAGAAGGGGGCGTGGCCTGCCTCAGAGGAGGGGCTGGGCTTCCCGGGGTAATTTGCATACAACACTCCCTCTTCCTCCTATTGGCGGAGCAGCACAAACTGTATCCCCTCCCACCCCACTACCTAACTAACCCGCCAGCTCCCTTCAGTTCGGAGCCTCGGAGACAAACTTAACTCGCCTGGAGATTCAAGGCGTCCTCGGCCTCAGTGATTGGCCGGCGCAGCTCCCAGCCGGGTTCTAGTTGCTCATTGGCTGCGGGCTAGCGCCCCGGGGGCGTGGCCGGAGCTGTCCGATTGGCGGGAGGGGGCGGTACCAGAGCGCGGCGGTGGTGAAGGTGGTGGGGAGGCGGGGGCGGGGCCGCACTGAGGCGCTGCGGCGGCGGCGGCGGCGACGGCGGCGGCTGCAGCGGTGGCGGCTGCTCATCCTAGCCTGGCGGGGGCGGGGGTCTGGAGGATGGGGGCGGGTGGAACAACGAGCCGGTGAGGAGCAGCCGCCGCCGTCTCCGCCGTCGCTTTGGCAGCCGCCGCGGTGGTCGGCTCGGGCTGCGCCGCTCGCTCCCGGGCCGTCGCCTGCCATCCCGACATCCCGCCCGGAGGAGGCAGAGGCTGAAGCGCGGCCGGCGGCGGGGGGACGGTCAGGCCCCGCAGCGGCGCGGACGGCCGCAGTGACAGCCCGGCCCCGGCCCGCCGCCTGCCCTCGCCCTCGGCGCCCGCAGCCACAATGAACCGGGGCAGCAGCAGCCCGTCGGCCGCCGCCAACTACCTGCTCTGTACCAACTGCCGGAAAGTGCTGCGGAAGGTACGGGCTCGGCCTGGGGTCCGGCCCGAGAGGGGGCTTCCTGCCGGCCGGGTCTCTGGCTGCTCGGCCTCGGGGCGCACTCTTGGGGCGAGGCTCAGAGCGATCCCGGGGCACCTTTGCTACGCCGAGACCGAAGAAGGGGGCGTGGGTTAGGGTGGAGGGTTGGGACTGCTGTTGCTTTTTATCTCCACCGGGACAGACGCTAGTCCCGAGGGGTTGGGGATATCTTTTTTTTTGGTCCCTGTGGTCTGTTTTTCGGGTCACCTCCCTACCTTGCCGCCCCAGGCCTGCTCCTCGGACGGAGGGAAGGAGGGACCGGTGCGATCCTTCTCCCGGTGCTGTTGATGGAGGTCGGTGTGAAACCAGCACAGCCTGGTCTGGTCTTGAGGAGCCTGGCCCCTCTTTGCTGCGGCAACTCTTGCGGGCGTTGTTTTTGTTTATTCGGTTGTTTCTGCCTTCCTTGCGCGTTCCTTCCTAACACCCCCTTTGTACATTCTTTTGATAGTCGTCTTGTGTGTAGAGTTCAGTCCTGAAAGGAACTGGTAAAGCAGCTTAAACTTTATGCCCATGGGAAATGCTATTCGACCTCGCAGTTCCTCAGGCTGGGGTTGGGGGAGGAGGAGACTGAGGTGGACGTGGGTTATCCCACCTTAGCACCCCCTTCCCCCTCCCGCGTTGGTCCAGAAAAATCAGACGCACAATCAGCTTATTGCTTCCCAGAGTGACTGATAGAAAGTTTACTCCAGTATTGTTTAGCTTACTTGGCTTAATCGCTCTGTTAAGGGGGAAGGGGGGTGTGAAAAGATGTCGTTTTAGACCGAGAAAAGCTTTTAATCGGACTTGGAACAGCCGCCACTGGGTAATATTATAATCAGTTTATTCTTCTCCCAAGTCTGTTTTTACATTTCATTAAGTGGAAACATTAGTTGAGGTGCTTCTGTTTGTCCAGTACAAATGAATTAAAATTGCTGAGCTGTGCAAATGCACCGGGACTGAAAGAGCGAGATGAATACGGCACCGTTTTTAGTCGATTTCTCTAAATACGGTTCAATTGGGATTGTTCCTTATATATTAGAAAGAAAGCGTAAGCAAGCTCAAATATTTGCGCTCTTTGTCCAAAAACTGTTTTTCTTCCTCTGTGGGTCAGGCCAAATGCCAATCAAAGTTGTTTTTCAAGCCTCTTTTCCCTGCAGTAGGGCTGCTGTTTTTTTTTTTTTTCCCTTCATTTGCGAGCATGAAGAAAGCAAAGGGATTGTAGATTTGAAGTTAAGCGAACAGTTAAATATGCCTTAAATTGTGGTTATTGGATATGTTTCTCTAGAAACAGATTTTTATTAAATGTGCATGTTGAGTATGTGCAGTTATTTTTTTCCATAAACTCTGGGATCAAATTACAGTTGATACTTGCTCAGCTCATTGTAGAGCAGCTTGTGAGAAATGTAATGGATCAGAAGTGCAGATCAACTTAGTTGAATGTTAACTCTTTCACTTCAGGGCCAGATGTCATCTGAAATTTAGCTTTTTTAAGAAAATGATGATTATTATTTCCTAACTTTAAAAGTGATGTTATGTCTTTAACATGAAAAAAGTGTTGTTTGAGACACATTTGATTAAACTTAAGCCTGGTTAAAATAACAGCTAGTTATTTTTTAACTGAATAAGGGAAAAAAGCTATCTTGACTTCGATTTTTTTTTTTTAATGGCTCTGGCGATGGTAGGCTAATAAAATATTTGGAGGTGATAGTAGGCTTCAAAATCTATTTTTCTTTTGAGAGAACCATGGCTATGGATCTGTTACACTTTTGCTAGCATTTGAAACATCTTTATAGCTTTCTTTTAGCTTTTAAGAAACTATTTCTGTTTACCTGGAAAGAATATCCTCATTTCTAGCCATTATTAAAAGAAGTATATGGAAAATGGATATTCACCGTTTTCATATTTTATAATTGCTGCTCACACTCTGCCAATATTCTAGTTTTTAGTAACTCCAAGGTATTTAATATTGATTCATGCAGTAGCATGAAATAACTTTAGATGGAAATGGGATTGTTTGAACCAGTTATGACATGACTTGGCAACATTTGTAGCTTTTTAAGAGTGCCATTCTTAAGTGCTCTTAAAAGATATCGAGTGTTTAGCATTTTGAATTCTTCATTATTCTAAAAATAGCATGTAAGAGTTTATTTCTAAAGAGATGGCTTTCTTTTTGATAGAAACTATATAACTCTAAGCAGAATTCATCAATAACTCTCAAAATGTGATTCTCTGAATTTATCTTGTATTTTCCACTTAATAAAAGGTTCAGTAATAACCAAGTGAGTCATAGCATTTTGAATTTTAGTTCAGTGTCGTTTGTTCATAATGGAAAAATGAAACTCATGCACACCCAGTGTGAAGTACTCTTTGCTGTTAGAATCCTCATTAATGATGGGGGAAGAGTCACCTTTATATGTGGCGTGAAGCCGTTTTCTCTGAGTGGCTTAATTTGTTGCAATCTGTTGAATTTGGGGGGAACTTCGAAAGGAACTGGGTTCACCTTCAAATGAAATAATTTGGTTTAATCCAATATCTGAAAATTGAATTATATATTGTATGAGAATCACATTTATTCTTAGAAGTACCTTTACAATTTTGATTCAATGTCTTCCAAAATAAAGAGACTTATTTTTTTTTCCCCCCAAAGCCCCAGTAGATAGTTGTATGTCATAGTTGCACATCCTTCTAGTTGCTGTATGTGGGACGCGGCCTCAGCATGG